GCAGTCAGCCCAGTAAGTGTTGTGTGGAGTGGCTTACTGCGGGCTGAGAGTCAGGTCCAATGGCTCTTTCTTAATGTGGCTTTTATGGCGCTCACAGGCGCAGCCTACCTAACGAAATGTGCTGTTGGTATGTATGTTGAGTGTTGGTCGCGCCAGCCGCCTGCGCCCTCCCCCATCTTCGTTCTTCCCGACTTTTGTCTTGATAACGGGTCTCGGTGTGGGAGTGGTGAGGGAGTCGGGAAGATTCTTTGCAAGTCTACTTTCACTATAATCCCGTGGATGTCACCGACTTGCTTCAGCTTGCTGAAGCTCGTGATAGACATCGTCGAGAGCGACGGCCGAACTGTCGGTAGAAGGCGTGAGGACCTAGACTCATGTTTATGCGCGCGTCAGACTGTTATGACTAAGTTTAAACTATGTTTACGCAGTATGGTTTTTTACATCGAAGGTCTACAATTCCCGGCGACTCACGAAGGCTCTACTATTGCCGGAGCAAAGGGGGCTGCTACTGTCATGAAAATCATTACCTTCTTAAGTTCACTCCTATCGCCTTTGTATACCGGCATTGTTTGTCCGTCATTTAGTAAGACGAACAACTGGCACACAGCTTGCAATTAGTCGGTCAGCTTCTTTAATACAGAGCATATGGTTTTCTCTCTTCCAAGCTGCTGTTTTATAAACTCCACATGCCAATCTCTTGAGCGCAGATACTCAAACTGTACGCGTGGGAGGAGGCATTCGAGAGGCTGGTCACAAAACTGCGCAATTCAGAGTTGCGCCAGCTTCTGTTCGGTTCCATTTCCTGGGCCATCGTGGAGGCCAATTGGACCCTTGCACCCTTTGTTGTCCTACTGGCCACCTTCTCATCCTACATTGCCAGACTGCGTCCGGAAGTGTACATTAATGGCACCAGCACGATCGACAACATCGAGGGTCTGTTGACGCCGGAAAAGATATTCGTCAGCTTATCACTCTTCAACCTCCTACGGGTGCCGCTCACAAACCTGCCGTACATTATCTCACTGGTCATCATGGTATGTCATTAAACATTCAGCTACTCAACCACCCACCCACTCGCTCCCTCTAAAACGCAGTTCAGTTTCCGTTCGCAGTAGGCAACCTATCTTCAGTAAAGACCCTTGTCCTTTTTAAAATTGAGCTTACCTCAGTGTGAGGCGGGCGGGCTTAACGCTGTTCTTTTTAAAGTCCACTCAATTCAGTTCAGTTCAGTTTATTTGAGAGATATACAGGGTGTCCACGAAGTCTGAGTACATAGGGGATAAATACACACCTTTAGAACAAAACAATTTTATTTAATTA